TCGGCGTAAATTGCTTGAATGCAACAACAAAATACAACGTCAAACTCACGTTAGCCTATATATAAAACATAGAACTTTTATTAACAAAACTATTAAAAGTACACCATGCTATAGGGCAGGCTATGCCTAATATAAAATAACAAATAACTTACATAAAGTTTAAATAGGTATACAAAACTGGAAATAAGTAAACATGTATAATATATAACCAAATAAATAAGAAAGTAGAACGTTTATTAGCAAAACGAGTAAGAAATCTTGGAGGCACGGCATACACCTTGATGTCAAATAAAATAAATAAATGACACAAAGTTTAAATAAAGTAAAAATCAGCAAACACTGTGGAACCAATTAAATAAGAAACGAATGTTTAAAAAAACGTCCAAAATCACCTTAGATAAACGGCAAAAGTCAACAGGCTTTTCAAAATCCCAAATATTGCCAAACAAGCGCTTTTGCAACTCGTTTCGAAACTAAATCATCCGCGATCGTCTCGTCTGTCTCGCCTCACTCTTCTCGTCAGTCTCGCCTCACCGACTGTCGTTCGGCACGCTGCATTGAGCAGCCGCGTTCAGTTTTTAATTGTAGTGTCTGTTCTTTTACTGAACTAAATGATTTTTATTACTATAAAACGACGGTGGCGACGGTGGGGGTCGGTGCCGCGGTGGGCAAGTGACGTAACCGGTGTTGCGGCTTAACAACGTCAGCACCGTCTATCATGGCAAGCCTAATACACACCTGATCAGAAAGCGTCTGCATCTTCTCAGCCAGATCATTCACGTCTAAACCGTTCGGATGAAGCTTCCTCCCCAAACACGCTGAGATCTGCAGGAATTCGAGGTTAGAATTAGAGCTTCACTCAAAAACAAACACGTTTGCGTCTGATTTTCTCACAAAGCATCATCAGAAGACTTGCTTTTTGGTCATTATGGGAGTCAGTGTAATATCTCCAGGTCACATTATTCCTTTATTGCATTCCAAAAAGCATTATTCCAATGATTTTAATGAGGTGGGGTAAGATGTGTCAGTGGATAAACGGCATTATGCCACTCAGAATGGCATAATTTGTCACGGATTTAGAACAAATGTCTCAGAAGTGGCTCAGTTTACCCCGCTCTCCCCGAATGTATCGTGTATTGTGATGCGATACCTTCCTCTGCAGCTCGTCTTTACTGAAGCCCAGTAGCCGCAGAAACTTCACACGCGCCTCATCCTCAAAATTCACCTGTTAGAAACACCGCAGAACAACGACTGATTGAAAGTGATGTGTGCATCAGTTCTCAGAGCATAAATGTGACGTTCTGTGGCTTTTAGTATGAATATGATAGCTTTAAGATTATCTATATTCTCTAATCCCGTCTCTCAAACAGTAAAGTATGGCGCTTGCAACACCAAGGTTATGGGTTCGATTCCCTGGGAATGCATGAACTCTCTAGAATCTGAAATAAAACAGAAATCGCAATATAGCAATCCTATAAGACTAGAAGCAGTTATTAACGACAGAGAAGCTTTAAGGGCTTCCTGCGGTTTTCATCAAATAAATAAAAGTTTGATGGTTTAGCGACAAAATCAAGAAATTAAGGCAGTTATAATGTTACAGTTGTAATCTAAAATATAATAAATTTTTTTTCTTAAAAAACGTGATTTTTTATTTTACAGTGAATTATTACAAAAGTATTATTTATTTTGTTATTTTATTTAGCAATAATAATAATTATTATATTAATTAATAATAATAATAATAATAATAATAATAACATATCGGCCCTATAAGCGCTATAAACACGTTTTTTAAGTCACATTTTAAAATCCTAAATACACTAAATACAGCCATTCCACTTCCCCAATATTAATAATAATAGTAAAAAGAATACTGACACTAATAATAATGACATTATTAATAATAATCATAATAACTACTCATAATAAATAAGACTAATAATAAAAAGAAAAATAACAATACTAATAACAGCAAGAGCAACATCAATAATTTAATAGTATTTTAATAATAATAATAATATTAAAATAACTAACAATAATAATTATTATTATTATTCAAATAAAAAAGGCTAATAATGACAAGAAAATGAATACTACAACAATAATTATTATTTAATAATATTTTAAGAATTTAATTAAATTTTTATTAGCATTATAGTTATTATTTTAAATATTATTGTTGTTGTTGTTACTAATATTAGTAGTAGAATTCTTATACAAGTGTTTTTTAAATCACATTTTAAAATAATTTTTATCCCAAAAATCACAAATAGATTTCAAATCGTGCAGTCCTACCCAACATTATAAAAAGTCTCTGAAATTGATCATCTATTTTTCACACATTTTGCATCTCAAGTAAATGCAACCTGATTTAAGATACTTATATTAAAAAACAAAAACAGATACACGATATTCATGTATCGCAGTGCATGCAACATTTATTGCCATGACTTCTGGCTCTGATTTAAAAGCTTCTTCAGCCTTCATACGACGAATTAAGACGTTTTAAGACCTGGAGAAACAGTAATGGAACGTAGTGCACTGAAGCGATTCAAGACTCTGTTAACTATGAGACTGAATGAAGCCGGCTCTTGTGTGTTTCACAGAAGAAGTTGTGTGTAAATGTGAAAGTTTGTACCATGAGGAACCTCCATATGTCCTGCTCGGCGTCAGACGGGGCGCTCCTGATCTTGCCGTGGCAGTAGCTGCTAAAGGATCCGGATTGTAGAGTGGCCTGCAGCTCGGCTGAACGCTGGAGGAACTCCGTCTCTGTGGTCACCTGACTCACATGCACCTGTCGCGGGATTGGCTGCTGCTGAGGCGCCACTTTAGGGCTCTCAAACATCACCAGCTTCCCTCCGAACTGGAGGAGACAGAAGCGAGCGCAGACTCACAGCAACATCTTAAAGGAGACACATTATGCCCCTTTTTACAATATGTAATATAAGTCTCAGGTGTCCCCAGAATGTGTCTGTGAAGTTTCAGCTCAAAATACTCCACAGATCATTTATTATATCATTTTAAAAATGCCTATTTTGAGTGGAAGCAGAAACACGCGTTTTTTTCGTTCCTGTCTCTTTAAATGCAAATGAGCTGCTGCTCCATGGCGCCGTGGGTGGAAACTTACAGATTAAGGGGCGGTAATATTATAATGAGATCCCTTTGCCACGTCACCAAGGGAGCGAAATCAGACGAACTCGTTTTCTCAGACGCTTGCAGAAAAAGGCTTCGCAAAACAAAGTTACTGGGTTAATCTTTTTCACGTTTCCTTTGTAGTTAGATGCACCGGGGACCTGATTATAGCACTTAAAACCTGGAAAAGTCAGATTTCATGATATGTTACCTTTAAAATAACAGACGTCTCGACATCCCTAAAATACTCACAGCGAAGGACGCGCCGACAGGCCTCCGTTCCCACTTGGGTGGCTTTTTTAGCGGAGGGATGATGGTGGTTTCGACTGAGGGCTGAGGAACCTGCAGAGGAGGAAGAGTCTGACCGGTTCCAAACGGGTCGCTGGTGTCAAACGAAGCCGAGATCTAAGAACAGAGAGAGAGATCATGTGATCATCATTCCTCATAGAAAAACAGGTTAAATGTTCCCATAATCTCACCTGGTCCACCGTGCTATGCTGCTGCTGCCCTCCCATCACAGAGTACACACTGATCCGTCCGTCAAACGATGCGGCTGACAGGAGGGCGGGGTTACGAGGACACCACTGCACATCGAAACACCACTGATTGGCTGTCGGCAGCTCGTAAATCACCTGAAACACCAGAGACGAGGCATGATGCTCAATACACGTGCAATGCGATCCAAAGATCCCACACTAATGGAATTCTATGGATTTATTAATTACTAAACTTGGCAATCAGCTGTTTGACAAACTACAGATTTATTATATATTTTTAGAATATTATTTTATAATTTATTAATTTATTTG